ATGTTGGTTAATGATGTAATCTGTGTGATTAATGAGCTTTACATTGTGAAATAATAATAAGTGGCTGTGTAATTAATGGTTTGTGGCTGTGGATTAATAAAGAAAAGCTGTGTAATTAATGATGAGTAGCTGTGTAATTAATGATGAGTAGCTGTGTAATTAATGATGAGCTTCTGCATTAATTAATGATGAACTGCTGAATGTTTAATTGGTTTAATGCTATATAAATCTTAATCTTTTTGAGTGGTTTTTGCCTTATAATTGATTGATTTATTACTGATTCTTCTTTAATTAATTTAAGAACTTTCTTTTTGGTTTTATTAAATTATTCTATTATTTAATTTAATATAATTTTGTGATATCTGTTTTGTAAATATAGGGCCTTGGAAAGACGACTCCCAAGGATTTATCAACGACTCCCAAATACAGTTGTTGGACGTCCCTTGGGATTTGTTCCTCCAAATGGATGGCCAACTTTGGGAGTCAGCCATCCATTGATATTTTTTTTTTAATTTTATGGGAGTCGGCTCCCAAAACCACCCCTCATGCTTGAGGGGGTTTGGAGGTCATTCCCACAAGACCAGAAGGACTTCCTTCCAGTTGAGGAGAAACAACAACCCCATAGACCGGAAGGAAGTCCTTCCGGTTGACAAAGTCATTATGCCTCATCGACCGGAAGGGATTCCTTCCAGTTGATGAGGATGCTACACCTCATCAATTGGAAGGAATTCTTTCCGGTTGACAAAGTTACTATGCCTCATCAACCGGAAGGAATTCCTTCTGGTTGATGAAGTTATTATGCCTCATCAACCAGAAGGGATTCCTTCTGGTTGATGAGGTTGTTACACCTCATTGATCGGAAGGAATTCCTCCCGGTCAATGAGGTTGTTACACCTCATTGATTGGAAGGAATTCCTTCCGGTCAATGAGGCTTTTACACCTCATTGATTGGAAGGAATTCCTTCCGGTCAATGATGTTGTTGCACCCCATTGATTGGAAGGAATTCCTTCCGGTCAATGAGGTTGTTGCACCCCATTGATTGGAAGAAATTCCTTATGATGTGGTAAGCCAATCTTGAATAAGAGGCCCACAAAATCAAAGCCTCAAGCACATTATCAAGCCCTCTGGAAGACATTACCCTCAAGGATCAAGACAAGCCCTGGCCTCTGCATGTGCTTCATTCTAATCCATTTTGACTCTAGCCTCGTTTCCACTTTGGGCCACATTATATTGTTTCACACTAGTTCATTTATCTCTCTGGTATATTCTTCCTCCCTCATTGGTTGTGGCACATTTCATCCCTGCATGACTCTGCTGTCATTTTCCCCATTTATCTTAGTGCCTACCAATTGGGCCACATTGTTTCAGTTTGATATAAACTTTCTCTTGTTCAATTTTGTTCCATGGTGTTTTGAACCACAAACTGTCCACTCCCCAGATTTTGTATATAAGGAGCCTTGTTTTCCCCTCCTCATTTGTTCCCCATCAGATCCTGCCCCACCAATCCAGATAACTGATCACCCTTCATTAGCCTAGTAGTTGCCCATCAACATTTGGGATACTAGTATTATTCAGACAGAAGACCAGACATACCCATCTCAAGAATACTCCAAAGCCACACCTTTCCTTAAGAGTCCATACTCTTATCTTTTTCTAGTTATCTTACTCAACCCAGTTACCAGAGAGGCAGCCCATTAAAGCATCTTTCCCTCTCCAGCTCTATCAGCGGTGGGCCGCTACGCTACACTACGCTACGGGCCCATGTAGCGTTAGCGTAGCGGCACCAATTTTTTTTTTTCGTGTAGTGTTAGCACGCCGCTACGGCCGCTGCGCTACGCTAACTTGTAGCGGCGCTAACACTAGCCATTTTTTGGTGTAGTGTTAGCGCCCCGCTGGCGCCGCTACGCTACAGCGTTTTTAGCGGCAAAAAACGCCAAAAAACCGCTAAAAACTGCTGTAGCGCAGCGTAGCGGGCGGTTTTTTGCGCCCTGTGCGCGTAGCGTTAGCGCAGATGGGGAGAATTGCGCTAACGCTACGCTAAACGTTAGCGCATTGTTTTGCCCCGTGCGCGTAGCGTTAGCGCTGAAAATGAAAAAAGCGCTAACGCTACGCTACATTGTAGTGATTTTTCGCTACACTACGCTACGCTAACGCTACAGTTAGCGTAGCTGGCCCACCGTTGGCTCTATTCATCCCAAAGAGTAGTTCCACACTGGTCAATGAGGTTGCTACACCCCATTGATTGGAAGGAATCTCTTCCGGTCAATGGGGTTGTTATTGGGGTTGTTGTTTCTCCTTGACCGGAAGGGAATCCTTCCAGTCATGTGGGAACTCAACAACTCCCAAACCCCCTCAAGCATGAGGGGTGGTTTTGGGAGCCAACTCCCATAAAATTAAAGAAATAATTAAAAGAAATAATATCAATGGATGGCCAACTGCCAAAGTTGGCCATCCATTTGGAGGAACAACTCCCAAGGGACGTCCGACGACATCACAACTGTATTTGGGAGTCATTGATGAATCCTTGGGAGTTGTTTTTCCCAGGCCAAATATATATATAACTTTTAATCTTCCTTGTATGTTTTACAACTTTATTCTGTGTAGTCTAAATACATATAAAAGAAAATATCAAGCAAAATAACTATGATTTGAGAATAAAAGGCTTTATAATGACTATTTGATATTATTATCTGTTTTCTTGAGCTTATATTTACTGTTGTAATATTTTAATATGTCTTTTATATGTTTTATGGGTTTGATTGGTCTTACCACACCGTTTGGCCACTCAAAATATCATATATTGTTAAATGAAAATCCTAATAATTGGATTCAAGATTTTCCAACCTTAATCCAATTATTACACAACCATGCAAATCCATTATCACAGCACCTATTGGTCCAGTCCAGAATGTGCCTCTTGGCTGGAGAATATAAGCAATCAACATATTCTGTAATGAACATCATGTCATGATGTGGTCAGCCAAATATTCTTCTCAATATTCTTATAATCCCACCCCCCCCCCCAACATAATCTGCAGGATTTTTGAATATTGATATATAATGGGACGGTTCACTTCTGGCTTTTTAGCCAGTCTTCTGATCAACTGCTATGCTGGTTTGATAAAGTTTTATGGTAAAATTGATAGCTTGTTTGAGAAAAGAACTTGCTTGTTGGTTTCTGGTTGCTATCATTTTCTCTCAGAATATGGGGATATCCCAGTCAAGTTTAATCAGCATGCTGCTTCCATCTGCTGGTTGAGTGCTGATTTGCCCAATTTTGTTCATACATTTCACTGCCTTTTTTTAATACGGCCAAACGGAGCCTAAATGTTGAGCTACACTGTAATGATTGTGTATTAATATTTCCGTTGTTAGATCAACGGTTTCTATGATTAATGATTAGTAAGGTATGTATTAGGTAAGTATCTTTTCTCTCTTTTGGAAGTCCGATTTATTACTGATGACAATCTTTAAGCAAAATGATACAATCAATCAGATCTGTGTCATTTGATTGATGTGACTAATTATTGGTATCAGGCTTTATTTTATTTATCATTACCAAGCATATATTCTTAGTAGCCTGAATGTGTTTTAAATTATGACGTTTGTGATGATGTTGTGATGAGCAATGGAAATTCGTATTTGTGAATAAATACTTTATTCTTGTTCTTCAATCTTTCAATTGAAAGAAAAAGAAATATACTATTATCTTTTCAAGAGACCTCTTTACCGATTATTAGCAAGGCTCTTAGTTACAAGGGTTCTGCTCTGGTAAGCTTTTCCTCTCGGAAAAGCTTCGTTCCGTTTAGCACACCTGAACCCTAGTACCTAGTACTTCACAAAACCACAGGTGCAATCATACATCCTTAAGACAGTCTGAAATGAACACAAAAAGGCAGGGCCCACTGCCCAGGACAAAATCTGAAGACCCTGGTCATACCTGTCTTGTACGCGGTCTAACTATAAAACCCCTTCAAGGTCAAACTGCAAGTAATTAATAACAATGTTATGATTGAGAATGGGATCCTAATTGAATAATAAAGCACTGAGTTGCATAACAGCGCACCAGAACAGAGTGTATATATTGAAATGAATTGAAATAAATTGGCAAGTTCAGCGGACAGAACCACACAGACTACAAGTTCAACAGTCCCATTCTGTTGAGTGGCGGTGTGTTGAATGGAATACCAGGGAATACCTACACAATCCCTTGCCAGTGCCACCCTTTTACAATCCAACCCTTTGTTCTCTACCGCAAGCTAGCCAGTAGTACCAGTAGGAACAATACTTAAACTAGATACGAGCGACGATCGTAGCTCTCTCCCTCATTGCGAATGAAGATTAAAACTAAAGTAGTGCAGCGCTAGACTGTAGACATTAAGAAAGGTGCATATAGCCGATCAGAACAGTATTCGACCGATTGTTCTCCTATTATTAGTCATCCACAACACCTGTTGAACCAATTGAGGTTAATTTTACCTCCACCTGCTCTCTTCTGTTCTTCACTCTCTCCCATCTCTACAATCTCCTAAACAACTTCCACACGACTAACTTACGGTTCTATCATCATCATCACCTCAGCTGTTCTTCCTCCATTGCTACCTACCTAGCTTGTTACTCTGCGTGTTATCTGTGACTTGGCAGCTGTGATATCTCTTCAGTGGGTGGATTGCCCTGCCCTGTCGCTACACGAAGATTACGCGTAAGTCTTACTGAGAATATCTAAGCCGCATCAAAGACCTTCGAATACTTTCAAAATCCTACCTTGTTCTCTTGAAAATGTCCCTGGAAGAGAAGCTAGGCCAAAAAATCAGCTATTGATAACTAATTGAAAGCTGCTTCTCAAGTTATGTGAAGACCACGTAAATTTTATAGTGTGGTTGACACATAGCAGTCTGGTATATCCAAATTGGCCTGAGATGTTTCCACATAATCTGGGTCAGTAGGTTTCTTTCATCACGGCAGTGGCAACGGCTGAGAAGTAATCAACTCGACTCCCTTTTTTCCCTCAAGTCTTTCAAGCAGACAAGCAGATTCCTCACATAAGAAACAAACAACAAAAGTGTGGAGTATGAATGGATGGATACATATTTATTCATTTCGTTCAAATTTTATATTGATACAAGGATATGGAAAGAGAGGACAACACCGAAACATATGATAATAATAGTCATGAGAAGCGGAAGAAATAATGTGTATAGCTACAAGTGATGATGTGATATGGGGATAAAATGACTGTCGAGGCCCGCCAGAATTTTACTTTTTTTGGAGCGGCCCATTGAGATGATGGTTTTTTTACATTTGATGTTACATTAATTGATGGCAAGAAGGAGAAGATGAACTAAACGATAAATTAGCTGAATTGAAAAAAGAATTGAGAGTCGAGATGGACACAAATTTTGTGTCAGGGGTGAGGTTTAGGATGTGGATTGGGAAATAGGATGTGGTGGTCGTCGAATCTGGCGAGCTTGAAGCGGATTCTAGTCTGATTAGCTTCTAGGAACTCGTCGAGAGCGCATCTCGAGAATACGACGAAGTCGGCCATAGAGTCGAGGTTAGTTTTGTCTGGCGGCCAACAAAACCTGTAGGGGCGATCGACGCTCAAGAGTCTAGGGGTGCTATTGCGCTCGCGGATGCGCATATGCTGGAGCAAGGCTTTCAACTTGGGCAAGCCGATCGTTCTGTAATTCCTATCTGACTCTGCTGAGTTTGTCGATGCGGGCGAGGATGAAGAAGAGAGAATCCGATCAAACATCTTCTCGGCCGAGAGCCAGGATGCCTTGGACATTTCCTGGTAGTTCATGATACGCTTCAGTTTCTTGAACCCTTCCAGTAGTTTCTCCGTGTCTGTTTCGTGGGAGTACGTTTGTAGTAAGATCGGCCTGTCAGCTTCGACCAGTCGGTCGAGAAGCAAGCTTTCGTACATTAAACTGTTGGGACCGATTAGAATATCGATAAAAAGAGGAACCTATGAGTAAACGATTGGCAGATAAGGTATCTTTAGGAAATCAAATGCTTACCAGATGGCATGTGTAAGTTGGATGCCCGACCGGCGAGTCGTCGATTTAGCGACCTCCAAGAATCCGATCATGCTACTCCACTGAGAACACTGATCAGCCCGAGTCATGGTGGGTCTCGTGAGCTCGGTAGTCAGGAAAGATTGTGTGAAGAGCAGGAGCGAGTCCACACATCCAACGGCCGCTAAGTCGCTCATCACCTCCGCTTCTTCTGGGATCGGCGCCCTAGGGTCAGACAGGGCTGCCCGGGCTTGGGATATCTGCTGTCGTTGAACATCAGATAATCTCTTGAATTCTCTGGCTCGATCCGCATACCTACCAGTGAAAGGAAAAAAAAAGATGAAACTCGTTTCAATTAGCAATCGTTCATGTCATTGGGAGAAAGTCTATATGTTGACTAACCGGGATCGCATTCTCTCGAGTTCATTGCTGTTGTAGTTCTGGACCTCCCATCCGGTCCAATCAATCTCTGGGTTACCCTTCTCTTTGCCCTTAATTGAGACCGCTGATCGATCAGGCTGTGGTTCAAATGGAATTTTAGCATTACGAGCTGATTCGTATCTCGGTTCGGGATGATCATTCCTTCCGTTGGTGAGTTTGGATGGTTGGTCAGACGGAGAGCTGAATGTTTCAGGAGAGGTTGAGGAAGAGCTGGCAATAGCTGTGTTGATGCCGGTTATGGTTATTGCGTGGGAGTTGGCGGATGATCGGTTCGAGTTGTGAACTGGTCCAGCTAAAGATGAGATGTTTCAAATACCCTCAGAAAACGCTGTCCAGGACCGTAGAGTGTTTATAGTTTCATTAGTTCTTTGTGATTGCTCACAAGGTTGTTTGCACTCGTTCTGATTGTTTGACTCAGTTGGATGCCTGGCTTGTTCCTCCTTGAGTTCTGAACGATCCCAGTCGTCAAGACTCGAGCCATAATCGCGAAAGATGATCAAGTCCGGATTGATATCTTCGAGTTTTGATGGCGGTGACCAGGGTGGTAAATCGAGTGGCAATGTAAAAATCTTGGGGCCGCTGAATTTTTTCAAAAGCTGTTTAGTTTGCGTGCAAATAAATGTGGAGAATGGCACTCTTAATCAGCCTTTGGGTTCTATATCAATCCGAGTTGGTCACGAGATACAGGGCCAACTGACGTCATGGACCTGCTTTCGCTCTTCCGGATTTAGCCTAGGAATGAGGTGAAGGGACGGATATTAGTCACAGCATGAAACAAATTTGAACGTGTGTTCCGCAGGGAAGGACTTACTTAAACTGAGGTCTGATTGGCCTGTTCTTCCACCTTCCGGTGTTTGATTTCACTGGTTTGGTATTGGATAGGTTGTTGGATGATCGTTTCTTTCTGGGATTCGACTCCATTTGTTTCCCCGGGGTGGAGTGAGAGATGGTAGTTCCAGCCATGTGGGATGTAGGATGAGGGATGTTAGGGGAGATGAGGTTGGTGGTGGGATGGTTGTTGGTCGGTTGGGACTGAAGTGTTTTTCCTGTTGACCGTTGCAGTGGGCGATGGGTGGTGGGGTGGGTGGCTTATATAGAGACGTCCGGCCGAGCAAGGCTGAGTGGTAAATCCAGGCTGAGCTGCTGACATAAGCCCGAGTCGGCTGAAGTGGTGTATGCACTTAGACCGACTTAAAACGGGAAAGATATGCATTTAGATATATATGCATTCTCATCATGATGCATCACGCAGCCTGATCAGCCAGCCTCATCCAGCCCAATCCGAAAAACCCCCACAAAAAAAACCAGTATGCTTATACTGGATCCCATAAGACTCGATTGCGGCAAAGCAGATCGTCTCACTGCTGACTCACAACAGAGCAAAGAGGTGGGCAAAAAACTACTGGAACCAGCATCAGTCCATCTCAACAGATGCATATGCGCATACTTCATAGCTACAAAGAGTGTTTCCAAGACTTCTTATCCAGAGTCAGACTGAGGCATCACAAAGAATCAACTGTTTCAAATCCAAGCATTGATTTGTGCAACTCATGATCAAGCAATCATACATAGAACTGTCTAACACTTACAAAAGGAATCCCAAATGCAATCATAGGATAGTGGCTTGACATTAAATTTGTTTTGAACACCGAAAGTATTTTTATAGAGGCTTGGCTAATTGACTCCCAAAAGTTGGAGAGTCAACTCCCAAACCCCCGAAACCCCCAATTTTGGGAGTCAATCCCCCAAACCTGTCAGCAGGTTTGGGAGTCGGATCCCCAACAATTTTAAATAAAAAAAATTGAAACCCCCAAATGGGGGGGAGTCAATGCCCCAAAACCCAGGGGGTCGTCAAGCCAAAAACAGCCCCCAACGGCCAGGAGGGAATCCTCCCAGCCATTAAGAGCACACTCTTACGCCGAGCCTGAGGGTGCACACTCTCAACAGACAAGAGTGCATACCTCTCAGCCGTTGAGAGTGTACACCCTCAACGGTCAAGAGAGGCTTTCTCTTGACCATTGAGGGTGTTCACTCTCAATGACCAAAAGGATTTCTCTCGGCCGTTGAGAATGTACACTCTCAACGACCAAGAGGCATTCTCTTGGCCGTTGTAAGTGAACACTCTCGGCCGTTCTCTCTCAACCGTTGAGCGTGTACACTCTCAACGGCCAAGAGTGATCTCTTGGTTGTTGAGGGTGCACACCTCAATGACCGAGAGGGTTTCACCCTTGGCCGTTGAGTTGTGCACCCTCAACAGCTGAGAGAACACTCTTGGTTGTTGAGTATGCACACCTTGACGTCCAAGAGTGTACCTCTTGGGTACACTCTCCACCGTTGAGAGGTTTACTCTTGACCATTGAGAATTTGAGAGGTGCACTCTCAACGGCTGTGTACCTCTCAGCGGCCAAGGGTGTACACCCTTGATGACCAAGAGGCTTTCTCTCGGCCGTCGAGATTGTACACTCTTGATGGCAGAGAAGTATGCACTCTTGTGCGTTGAGCCATCAAGCCCGACATCAAGAGCGTGCTCTCAATGGCCAGGAGGATTCCCTCCCGGCTGTTGGGGGCTGTCAGTGGGTTTTGGGGCATTGACTCCCTCGCCCTTCGGGGGTTTCAATTTTCTTTTTTTTAAATTGTTGGGGATCCAACTCCCAAACCTGCTGACAGATTTGGGGGATTGACTCCCAAAATGGGGGGTTTTGGGGGTTTGGGAGTCGACTCTCCAACTTTTGGGAGTCAATTAGCCAAGCCTCTTTTTATAATAGAAGATTACAAAGCAAGACAAAAAAACTATTTTTACCAGGAATATAGAAAAAATATTTGAAGAACACAAGAAAATATTAAATATGTATACATAAGGATTTTGAAAAGATCATTGAAATTCAAGGCCAATTGATGATAATTGAGTTTAGATAAATCTACATCCTGTTTTTTCTTGGAGCTCTTTTGGTTGTGGCTGCTCCACCTGGGGCAGACGTTTCCAAGTATACCATTGCATTTTTCCATTGAACATTTGGACTTGATTTCTTGATCATACTACCAGCCTTCAAAGAGAATTAAGTTTAATTTCTATTTATCTGTATAGATGTCATTAAATCTCACTTACATTTGATTTGCATTGTTGACCTATTGAGTTAATCATGTCCCAATAATAGTTTTGATCACTTTTCCATAGTCAAAGATGAGGAAAAGGCAAATTCAGCACAATTGGAGTAAATTTGAGTAAATTTTTAATTAAATCAAATACTGACTTTGGAAGAAACATTTGATTAGAGGATTTAAGATAGACCTATTTGCATGGGGTATTCATGTTTCAATTGGAATGCACAAGAAAAAGAAAATCAAACTTTACTTCTTTGAATTGATCTTTTGACCATATGGACTTACACTACATGTCCTGGTAGTATTCCTGATCTCTACATTACTTTGTGGTCCAAAGAACTTTGGAATGGAACTAATTAGTTGAAAAGAAGAGATAATCAGATCCAAAACAGCTACAGATTTTTTTCCTTTTCCTTTTTCTTTTAATTTATAAGCCACAAACCTTATACAATCTTGCAGGTTGATCGCACTTGGTAGTTTTGAAGTTCCACAAGTGACCTTGTCCAGTGTCACCTTATTATTACCAAAGAATATATCATTAGGTTTTGGTTGGTCAACAGTAAGAACAAATGTTGCGTTTGGGCGGGCTGCCGGTGCGTCGATGGACCAAGGCTGAAAAAATTGACTCTCAAATCTGATCAGAATTTGACAAAAGATTCAACCAGTTCTGGTGATGAAAGTGCATACAAGGCTTTTTGTACATGTACCAGAGAAAATATCATTTGTGGCTTTAAATACGTCTTTTCTGAGTGCAGCGCTGGTAGTGGAGAGATTCAAACCTCAGTAAAAAGTAGCTGCCTTCTAACTGTCTGAATTTTATAGTGAGGTGTAATCACCCTGAGTTTGGTATAGATTCTGTACTGAGCTGGTGGGAAAAAAATCCAATAATTCTTAGTCTAACTGTTAAATTCTAATTATTGATTGGGGTATTTCAATTTTCATGCATTTGAATAAAAACCCTTACAAGGCATCCTCCATAGCGGACAACGATTTTTGATTCACCCTCAACAATTGAGCCATCAGTCCCAAATTGAATCATGCGACTTGCTCTGTGTTTATGATGGAACATTCAAAATCGATGATGAGTAGATTTGAAAAACCAAACGCTTCAAAATGGGAGAGCAGAAGTAATGATGACCGGTGGAACTGGAGTCACAGGGAGGGGAAAATCGGAACAGCCTACATTACACAATCATTTTGGTTCACTTTTGCCGTAGGGCACTGAGCCTGGGCTTGACGGATGGACAGTGAGAAGTGGGCTAGGACGCTGATCATGATGAAGAAGAACTTAGAAGGATACATTTTCGTTGTTTTTCTGATTTGACACTATAAAAATGATGTGATAAGGGTAAGAAGTATCGCTTCAAGTTCGACCTAGTGAACTCAGGCTAGATATAGGTGTTTTCATAACTGGGCCAAGGAAGTGCTCACTGTGGAGGGTGTGTTCCCAACGTCATCTGACAAAGGCCTTAATATCAGATCCGGGAAGAGGTGACCAACTGAGTCATTTAACCTCATAATATTAATGAATGGCAGCTTCTGACACCCAAACCCAAAGATAAAAAAAAAGCGACCTTTCACTTCCGAAGTCTTGGATTCTTGGATTCCAATCGCCAAATGAATGTCTCTCATATCTTTTCGACCCCATAACAACCCACGGAAGCACCTTCCATTTGGCGTCCCAGTTTTCCCCCATTGCTTAGCATTGATTACATACATGAATGCATGATTAACTATGTAAGTAGCACGGTGAGGTCAAACTGGGGCTGATAGATTAGTGGTGCTCAACACTCCCAGTCGGGTCGGTCGCCATCCTAACGGTTTCGGTGGTGCCACCACTGTCACTTAAAATGGGGTTGCTATTATGGCGGTGTCCTGCCAGGATCTCCACGGGGCCCTGTTGTGACGCACTCAGTGCACTTGTAGGACGCCCAGTGCTCGCTTCTTTCGCGTTGCCAAAGTTCAACTTTGCCGGTGCCGATATAAGCACCATGGAGTCGCCTCATAGGCGATTCGGGCTGGCCTCTTTGCTTCTCCACCATCCACCTGGGGGAAACTGGGCCAGCGCGCCGCTGTGGCACCTTCAGACAGGCCTCCGAGGCGGGTTTGGTCGGCCCACTCGGCGTCAGACTGGACTTCCCTTAAGGGCTGCTCCTGTTGATGGGGCTCTTCTCTTGCATGGCATCGCAGCGGTTCGAGGGTCCATTTGGCACTCTTCATCATTTTAGTGGTACTCTTTTTCAGAGATGCACCGCAGGGCATCTCTTAGAACAGCTGTAGAATAAAATTCTTCCAGCTGTTCGAGTTTGGGTTGTGATTGAATCTTTGTTTAATTTATTGAATTAATTCTTAAACTAAATTTTTGAACAAAGAATTCAATAGGGACCACGGAAATGAAAAGAAGTATAGTTATCTTTGATAATGTCTTGCTGTAATTTTTTTTATAATTTCTAAAAACAGGAAAGAAGTAGGTTTGAGAGCAAAACACCTATATCTCAGGTGTAAATTTCTAAAGATGATAGGAGCCTGAGCCTTGTCAGCCTGAGTGATGCCAAGAGCTGAAACTCTTCTAGCTACACTAGGTGCAAGGATGAATTCAGAGGTTTACACGTGTGAGTGACACGTGAAAAGTGGGTAGAAGTGTGGTAATAAAAGAAAAGTAAATAAAAACTGTTAAGTTTTTATTTACAGAGGGGCCTGAGTTACAGGGGTTTTTAAGGTGCCCTCTAATATCAGGTCCTGGGTTACAGGGGTGGTACTGATGTTCTGGTCCTTTGTAATAAAGGAGTATGCCCAGAAATAGTCTACAACTGAAGAAACAAAGAAATAATACTTACTAGTACTTATCTCTAGGCCAACGGATGCTTCAGGAGGGGGGAACTGTTCTTGAGGTGCTCAGAAAGGTGGTTGAGAGGTGGTGAAAGAGTGCTGGGGAACAGGTGTTGGATGGTTGATAGAAATTCAGGTTGATAGCAGCAGGAACTGGGCCAAAAGGCAGGTGGAAACTGGATGTTGGTGACGGTTTATGCTGGTAAGTAAAGATGAAGATGGGGAACCAAAGTTCAGGGGGAAGAAGGGGCTCTTAAATACCCATTCTGGGCCTCTGGAGGCGAACTCAGGAGTCTCTCTAGTTGCTACAACTCTCCTACTAAGCCTATGGGAGCTTTTGATCATCTGTAGCACCTGTAGAGCTTGGTTACAGGTGCCAAGGAGATGATGTAATGCTTGTAACCATGTTTACAGGGTGTTCTGACGAAACTGTAACACTCCTGCAGTCTATTTAAGCACTGCATGATGCATGGGTTGATCTTCAAGAGAGTAATTGTCCCAATTGGGCCAAAAAGGGCCACAGATCATCCCAAACAATTTAATACTGTAGTCTGTGCTCATGTAGTTAAGGTTTCAATAATGTAAAACTTGTTTGTAGATTTTTCCCGAACTGCATGAACCTTAATTACACATGTAGCCCCCTTACAACATGTAGTATGATGTAACTGGAGGGGTCTACAGTGTATTTTGGTCCAATATCACTCAAGGACTACAAAGTAAGTGAAGGAGTAATAATTCAGGGGTACACTTGGTGAGCTACCCTAGGTTATTTTGCATGTAGATTAAGAATCTGCAATAATATTCTGAGTTATACTTAAGGTTCAGAAGTTATTAGAAGATTCTGGTTAAAAGTGTGATTTTCCATGGTTTATTTAATTATTTAAATGTTTATCTCATGAAATATTTACAATGTAAGTGTACTGTGTAATAATATCTCTATTATAGTGTTTCAACTTATTTAAATAGTGTATTTTAATATTTTAACTGTATGTACATATGTAAGTAATAATATCTCTTAAATAAGTAAATGCTATGTTCAGGCTGGCTCTGATTAGTAGCAGGCTGACAAGCCTAGTGATGAAACCTACTACTCCAACATAGCTTAGAAATTTGCACAAAGACTACAAAACACTTCCGTTAATCCTCTTCCCACAACTCGTTTAACTCATTAATAATCCTTCTACTGTCGGCTTTATCTTCCTTGCTATAATCCCTTAGATAAAGTTTATAACAGTTTGATATCGATCTACCTAACAGACATATCTCTTCTACAGGTGTCCCTAAAGCATGGTGTAAAGAAGCTCCTCCGACCCTAAATGAATGACTGAGTAAACCTTCAAAACCGCCAGTACGAAGAACTAACTGAATCCTATTAACCGCTATTGATTGAGTTAAGTGTCTCCTAACTCCGTCGCAATAAAAACCAAACAGGGAGGTGGCCGGTCCTTCAGCTTCCTCTAGACGTCTTTTTACGGCTAGGACCGGGCATAACATGTTCTTCAGGCTATGTAAAACGATTTCTTGCGGTTTGCCTGGTTGCGCCGTTTTTGCATTCCGTACTGTGAGTATCACTTTCTCCCCGATTGCCGACTTGACTACTTGTACGTCTGACGTTAAAACCGAATCTTCACCGTCCAGATTACCAGAGGTATTCGAGTGAGTAAGTTCTCCAATTCTAGCCATACCCCAAAGTGCTACGATTTCAAGGTCCATTATTGTCCTATCGATGTCACCCCCTGGAAACAATGCGTTCGACAACCAGACCAAGTGTTTCAGCATTATGGGTGGTTTCTTTGGTTTTGCTGGTATAGTTGCGTCAACTTTTGCGGTATTGAACGAGTGAAAAGAAAGGTTGTGTACTGTGGGACTCAAACCCACAACCTCAGCATTCATGAGTGATGCTCTGACCATTGAGCTAAGTACGCATTGCCAATGTTGAATACATGTGTGATGTATGCTTGTGAAGATGTGATGATGACGTGGATCATGAAGAATTGCCTCCAATGCTGATTAGAAGTCTCACATGGATGTGTTAGCAATGTGTAACAAGCAGTGCCTGAGTTTGACACTTCAACATTCCCCCGTGCTTGTTACAGGGTTGCTAGCAAATGCTACCAATCTTAACAAGTTCAATTGTGAAGCAGCATGCGCTACCTGGGCTCATAACCTATTGAACGAGTGAAAAGAAAGGTTGTGTACTGTGGGACTCGAACCCACAACCTCAGCATTCATGAGTGATGCTCTGACCATTGAGCTAAGTACGCATTGATAATGTTGAATACATGTGTGATGTATGCTTGTGAAGATGTGATGATGACGTGGATCATGAAGAATTGCCTCCAATGCTGATTAGAAGTCTCACATGGATGTGTTAGCAATGTGTAACAAGCAGTGCCTGAGTTTGACACTTCAACATGCGGAAGCTTTTAATAGTAAATCAATCCGTTTATCCAAAATTTCAGGGTATTCTTCGCTATAATGAAAAGTATGCCAAGCTTTCAACCTGCACAGATATTTCTTTATCGATGCCGAGGATATTTTGTATGAGATGTTTAGATAAAGATTACGACCTGCCCAAAAACAGAAATCTTCTATATCTTTTTTCGAGGCTGGTAATTTAAATTTATGATTCCCAGATAAATTTTTGAAAAATATAAACTTCTTTACTGCTGCGTTGTAACCGATTATTGTATTCCACTTCCATCCCGATAACAAATGAGCGTTCAAAGTTGATATCGGATAATGAGCTGTACTGTTCGCCGCGAAAGCTTTTATTTTGTTTAAGTGCCCTACTGTTAACGGTTCTTTATCTACTATAATTAAATCTGGTGGATTACTCATTCTGTTGGCAAGAAATAAATGGATTGTTCATTATTCCTATGGGATATGATGCGATCAATATAAGTACATTTGAAAATAACACAAAACAAGTAAAACAGATAATCACCAGACCCTGATGCTTCAGGCATGGCACAAAAATTGTATCCAGTCATTTGGGATAGTGAAACAGACCCTATTCTCTTTTTTTAGGTTTCCACACAAACCTCTTGAAAATATGGAGGTACTGAACAGCCATTTTGGCCAAAAAAAATGAAAACATGGGGATGAACCGCCACTTTGGCCAAATAACCGCCAAATGACGGCCCTGAACCGCCAGAATGGCCAAATTGAAAATTGAATCCAACCGCCAAATTGGCCACCCATGCTCCTGAGCCGCCATCATTGCCCCTGAACCGCCAAACATGGCACTGATCCGCCAAATTAGCCATGTATCCAAGGGGTTTGTGACCTTGTCTCAACCCCTTGGACTCTACACGCCCCATCAATACACCCAGTCATCCATGGGACTGGGAGTACATCTCCCATGGATGATAAACACCCCCATCAAGGACTGATTTCAACCAGTCCTTGATGGGGTAAGCCTCCCATCAAGGGCCAGTTTGGACCTTGATGGGAATAAACAACCCCATTGATGACCGGTTTTGACCGGTCATCAATGGAGGACACACTCCCATCAAGGACCGGTATTGACCGGTCCTTGATGGGAGCAAACACCCCCAAACACCCCCATCGATGACCGGTCAAAACCGGTCATCAATGGGAGTCAACCCCCCCAAACACCCCCTTGGATGACCGGTTATGACCGGTCATCGATGGGTTTAAACACCCCCAACGATGACCGGTCAAAACCGGTCATCGATGGGAGTAACT